ACACGTGACAATAACTGACGTTATTTTCAGTTAACAATATGAAAATAGCGTTCTCTACATTCCTCCAGTTGCTAAGAACATTCTGTTTTTTGTTATTATTAGTTACGTTCTTTAATTAAATATTCATTTCGTTTTTTTGTTTTTTGCTTTTTTAGCTTTGAGAAAGTCCACATTGGACGAAACGCGTCAGCAATAACTACAGTTTTCCTATTGTCATTTATATTTATAAATATTCCGTTTTGTTCATCACTACAGTCGCAATGCTTTTGTCAACTGGTAGTATGATGATGTTGTCATGGATCTTCTCCTATGGAGGAGAACATGATTAAGGACTGTGTGTACGACATCCCATGCAGTTGTGGCAAGAAAGGAGAAACGGGCTAACCCCCCTTAAGATTAGACTACAGAAACACCGTAAAGCCGTAACACGAGGAGAAATAGAAAAATCAGGCGTGGCCGACCTTATATGGAAGCAAAAGGGGGATCACCGTCCCCTGTTGGTTGAGGGTGATATAATAGACAGGTGACATCAATGGAAAATACGAAAAGTTAAGCAATCAGTGCATATGCTAGGCCGAAAAATTTCCTAAACCAGCCAAACATAGACATGAATACAACATGGGAACCAATAATACTGAATGCTAGAGAAAAACAATAACAACAATAAATTGTAATATGAGCTCTGGTAAAAAAAAAATGCTTAATGAGATAAGTCCAAAAAACACATACACTGATGTCCTCAAGGACACATGGCCCGGTGAATAAAAGCGTTGGTGGAAGTAATCCAGTGACTTGACCCAAAGAGTTGTGAGTTCAATACCTGGCCACAGCAGTGGGAACAAAAACTTGGAGAGTTGAGTTACTAAAGAGAAATAACTGAAACTGGGATATCCGGAAAGGGCATGGCACGTGGAACTAGAACAATCTACCGTGGTGGACGAAATAAATTGTTCGGTTCGAAATTTCAATCACATGAAGAAGGCCGGAGCGTACAACAACCGAAACGTCGTGAATGTGACAACAGTCCGAACAATGTAAATAGTGTAAATAGTCACCATACCTCATCTCAGGAACATAGACATATATCCACTAGCTTATCATCCAGGAAGATGCCTGGTTCTGAGAGGATGGAATCAAGAAGCTGCTTCAAAGATGGCATATTTGTGCTTCCATTAATCTACGTACAAGTATCTAAGTATTGTCTTTGAAATTTAGAAATTTTAAAAAAGCTGCCGCACTTTTGTTCCGACTCAATAATTTAACCATAACGATTTGTTTTCTACGGCTTATCAACCCTTTGCAGGCTATTTAAAGCAAGAAAATATTTTTAGATTGTAAGAATTTGGGAATAATAATGTTTTAGTGATACAAGTTTTACTAATTAACCCATATCTGGAGGGAGAAGAAGTGGGTTCATACTTTTCCCAAGGGTATTTGCGCGTTAGTGAATATGACAAACCCAACAGGAATTAGAACTGGGCTCTTCGATGAACAATTCCGAGCGAAACTCATTCCCTCCGTATTCCATCGATGAAGTTCCACTCGAGCAGCAGCTTCTCATGAACCACTGCTCTGTGGAACCGACTCCCAAAAGGATGTTTTCCTGATCTCTTAACCTCTTCAAGTCTAGGGTTAGTCGTTATCTTCCCCACATATTCGCATAAACTCTGCTTTTTACTCTCTAACCCTCTACTTCCAGTGGCTCCCGGGCCTTGTATAAGGCGAACCTCACTATAAAAAAGAGCCATTATCCATTACACCACCCACAGATCCAAGCTTACTGTTATGGGGTCCACCCCTTTTTCATACAAGTGGACTCGCCCAGCGTGTACTTGTACTGCTGACGGTGAATACCCGGAAGTCCGTCAGTTAGACGAGAGATACACTTATACAGTAATACAGTGAGAGTGTGAGGTAACCGCTTTGTAGGAGTCACAGTTGCGAGCACGTAGACTCAGAAGGAAGTCCTACTTCGATACTGAATTTCCCAGACTGTATATCTATTATTATTGCTACTAACCGCATTTCTGGATCTACTAACCGTATTACCAATTGTATTATTACGTCAATACATTTATTTGCTATATTTTATTCCTGCGTTTGTCATTCATTTTGAGACCGGATTTCATCCCGGAATCCACAACACTTACAGTACCTGGTGTTTTCAAACGGTCACCTATTTAGGTAATGACCAGGTTCGACGTTGCTTAACTTCGGTGATCGTACCGGAACCTGTGTTTCAACGTGATATGGTAGTAAGCTCCCAGTTATAAAACGGGTTTCATTTTGTGAAACTTTCGTTATAATTATTTTTTTTTCTATGAATTGTAACAAAAGAGAATAAAACTGTTTGTAAAATCTCTGGGAAAATTCCAGAAAGCATTTTTTTGTTTGTTTGTTTGTTTTTTGTTTGTTTGTTTGTTACTAGCTTCTATTTATTTACTTGCTTTCCCATGCTTACGTTACTGAAGAACAAATTGTCACCTATCAAGATACCGACCAGGTTTGACGTTGCTTAACTTTGGTGATCGTACGGGAACCATTGTTTCAATGTGGACGTAAGCCAGTACCCAATACGAGTTTCTATAATTGAAATGTCTCCTAAAATAATGACTGATGCACCATTGAGTTTATTAGACGTATTTACGTCTTCCAAAGAAAGGATCTACCAACAGTGACCTTTTTAAGCACCTTTCGCATATAGGAATCGAAACCTGCGTGAAAATCGTTTAAATTTTCCTCTTTGTGTGCGCGTCTGTCTGACTTCGATTTTACGAATAAAATGGAATATATGAGATTTCTTTCCTCTGATTTAAAGCGAGAACAGCCTTTCTCGGAACGAGAGGACGAGTGCCGCTGACCTTTCCATTATTGTTCAATTGTCTAACCCTTGAGCTGTGCCCTACCCGCAAGCGACCGAGAAGAACGCAAGCAAAATCAATTAAAGAGATACTCTAATATTTTCGCTGCTGCGCTATAATGCGTGGCTCGGAAGCATCCAGAGATGAACTACGGAAGGCCCCAATTAATTACCCACTGTGAACCACGGGTTACTTGCCCTCGGCAAACGCGGTTTAAATTAATTCACACGAGTCCCGCTTCAATGTCGGCCATCGTTTAGCCTTTCAATTCCGTCTTTTTCAAATATGCCTCCGATCGAACGAGTGAATTCGTTAAACGCTGCTCAAGTTTAAATAGCTTTCTGAATTATTACTCACATATACGTTACCGTTAAATTAAATACACTTCCACGCGCTCATACGGATTAACTAGCTTGATAGATGGATAGGAAATATATTCTTAAAAAGTAAATAGATAAACTGGCGTGCCAAAAGTCATGGGATATCAGTATGTAAAGGTAAAGGTAGGTAGTGCCACCGAACCTTGGCGTCATAGAAATGCCCAGATTTATATCAGTTGTACTCTGACATATAGTGAAACTGTATGAACATCGGCTAATCTGATGTTGGCGATATAAATTATCAAAATTCGAACGGGGCATGATAGTGGGCGCCGTTTCTGAAATTGTGGTGTCATATGATATCCCCCGGCTTTTACTGAGGATGTCAGATGGTAGATATTAATAGACACAGTGGCTAACCATAGATCAAGAACGGAGACGTCTGGCTAGAGTTGTCTACAAACATTTTACAGTGGTTCAAATCACATTCAACACTGGAGGTATCGGGATTTTTTTTCCAGAGGGCCAATTTAGCGTTTTTCTGCAAGGAATTTATGAAGATGCAGCTGGGTGCAGTTTTAACACCACGACACTAGACACGGCGCCTCATCTTAGCCCGTAACGTCGTTAATTGGATCCTGGGATACTGGCAAGATGTGATGTGGCCCGATGAGTCACAGTTTTTGTTATTTCGGAACGATGGTAGTGTTTGGGTAGGAGCCAGAGTCCATAAAGCCAAAGACCCCTGCCACCAAAAAGGTACCGTACATGCTAGTGGTAATGGTGTTTGTTGCGTAACGGTGGGCGCAATCTTAACAGTATAAGATATGCAGATGACACTGTGTTGTAAAGAAAAAATTAGGGAAGGAAATCAAGAAGAAACGACTAACAACTGTAAGAAGACAGAATGTATGGTTGTCAGCAAGAGAAAATGAGCAAAATGCGAACTACGAAATGTAGATTTGACATCGCCAATTCAGAGCTCACTTCTTGGGCTTTTTCTCTTATTCCTTCGATCAGGTGCATATTTGAAAAAAATGACAAACAAATACAGAAATTTAGGGAAACTTTTAACAGAGGATGGAAAATATGACACCGAAATCCGAACACGCATTGAAATAATAAAAGATGCATTCTAAAAGCTAAGCAAATTACTAAGGATAATTTCGTTAGAAACAAAGAAAAGATTGCTAAACTGTTATATGCTATCAACCCTCTTGTGTGGCAATGGATGCTGGACAATCTCACCACAGATGGAGAAAAATAGAGTCAACAGAAATATGGTTCTCCAGAAGATTACTGAGAATTGCATGGAAGGAGCAAGTGAGCAATGCGGAAGTCTTAAAGAAAATGGAAGGAAAAAAACACTTACACTCAGAATCAAGAAGAGTCAGCTGAAATTTTTTGTCACATCATCATGAAGGAGGGGGGCACCTGGACGTGGTATAATGGTTAGTAAGCTTGTCTCGCTAGAACAATTACGACTGAGTAGTGAGTTCGGTGGCCCATACTTTTAGTGCCACATGTAATCCAAGCTGGACATTTCGACGTGGGGTAATGTTTAACATGCTTGGCTCGATAGATAGATTAATTACGATGGAGTAGTGATTTCGATCCACATTGGGTGCTCCGTATTTTGGACCTTGTGTAATATCTAAGCTAATCTTAGTAAATCACGATATACGTATAATTAAAAAAAATAACTGCACAATCGCTTACCAGCTAATCGATTTTCATCGAAAAGAATTTTCAGGCGATAAGTACTGCATTTTTTTCCTCGTGGAAAAAGATACTAATACTCCAAAAAGGCTTACTGTCGTATCACGTTGAAACATCGGTTTCTGTACGATCAACGAAGTTAAGTAACGTCAAGCCTGGTCAGTACCTAGATGGGCGACAGTTTGGGAATACCAGGTGATGTAAGCTTGGATGTTCGGGTGGCCTAATGGATAATTACTCGGAACTGTTAATCGGAGAACGGAGTTCGAATTCCAGTTGCGTTTGTTATATACACTTTCACGCAAATACCGTTAGGAAAGGTATGACTCTACCTCATAACCCCCTTGCTATGGATTAATTAGTAAAACTTATTAAACCATTATTATACAAACAAAATGTGTACAAAATATGTAGATTTCGGCATTAAATAACTCATAACGGTTGATATACCCGCTGAACAAATTCAACCAACTAAATAAACCTTGCCCACATTATTTCATGTTTCTAAACTCTGGAGAGGACTTACAGTGTTCATAATCTATTTAAACATTTTCCATTGAGCTTAAATAGATAACTTCAATGTTGTTAAAGAAATCAAATCCAATCTACTGACGATTGGGTCAGAAGCAATTAAGCCAACACGTTTTCTATAGACACCGGGTGTCTTATATTTTCGGTCTTGTGCCCCATCTAAGCTCCGCTTAGAAAATCACTATAATGAGGAAGGAGGGCTGGAAGAATTTAACACTCACAGGGAGTATCGAAGCCGAAAGGGACAGGGAACAACGAACCACTTACACGACGGGTTTGCCTAAATGGATGGCGGAACTGAAGTCAGTTATGTGCCATGAGTGATACACACTTAGACGATCGTGTATCTTTCGATATATGACTGTCGAGGCAGATTTTTCCCGCAGTAGGTTGCCATTTCTTTCTGCGGTAGACCAGTTACCATCCAAGGCTATAAAACCCGGTCCGTCCTGCTATTTACCCATAACTGGGAGGAGAAAAAGAGGATTCATACCTTTCCCAAGGGTAAAATGATAAATGCTGATAAGAGCTACAAGGAATAGGAGGTTGCGGAGATCCATGATCACCCACGTCCTGAAGGGACACGACTCGCTGAAGAATTGGGTTGTGTGAACGTAGTTGGAGTTCGCTGGTCCGCCTAAACGCGTCATTAACCGGTGGTCTCTTTTGGCCAACAGCTTCCCTTTCGTCGATTAAAGTCCTTCCCAGTAACCAGTGATGACCATGCCTAGCACAATACAATTCCCATAAATTTATTTGCTGACTTACTAACTTTGAATAGTTGGTTTCTCGGTGGCTGTGGATTTTTCCAAAACATAGTAATGACTCAAGGTTTTTTTTTTACCCATGATCGTGTACTTCCAGAAAAAAAATAACTTCCCTACGCTGTTCCAAAGGATGAAATGAAATGCCCATGGGGCTGGAACTTGTGTTATTCAATCAACTGTTTTGAAACCTAATGTTACATTTTGGTCCTTGACATTCAAAATATTATTACGCCTTTGTTATAGAGTAGTTTCACAGTGGAGTCTTGTATTTCACTAAAATAGGTTCGACGTACAAAACGTTAGGAACTTGATATAAGAGGTAATGACGAGAGCAATCTAGTTGTGGTGGCTGATACTTTAATATCCGACTAACGGTCGTCCGACATCGACTGACTGGCCAACTCCGCGACTTAGCGACTGCTACTCCTCCTACTTATTATAGGTGGGAGAGTCTATTAACAATAGAATAGGTGTGTTCCACTATAACAGCCTTGCAGATGAATGATTGCCCAATGTTGTTCAAAGTGGAATCAGGGAGCCGATTTCATATTATTGGGTGAGTTGTGTTCACTTTCGCATTAATATCTATAGGAAAGGTATGAATCTATGTCACACTACAGGTTAAAATGGCAGGATAGACTGGATTCTCTCGCATTGGATGGCAGCCTGTCTACAAGTCCGAACTCAAAACCACTCATTTATCTTTTGCAATAGTTCACTGATCATAAAGAAAAGGATACTGTGGAGAGCCATGATCCCTTGCAATCCTAAAGAAATATGAAACGAATCAAGAGAAAAGTAGCGAAATGCTTTTTAATTTCTTTTTCAGATGTACTCAAATGTAATCAGATGGGACTTTAGGCATTTTTTTTCTTCCTTTTTTTCCTTTGTATAAACATTTTGTGGGTAATCATCTTTGTTTTGACATCAAATACGCATGCGCTCAGCATTAGTTGTTCTGGCTGTTACAAGAAGTACTATAAACACTTTGTCGTTTAGCACTTACAACCTTATGTCTATTTGTACCTTAATTTTCGTACATTCTTCAAATATACCATAGAAGTGGGGGCGTTGAAATGTTCTTGTTCTGACCCACTTTGCAAATCACCTTTCTGATGTTTGATTATTAAAACACTGATTTCGGAAAGTGAGTAGGGACGAGAAATTATTTAGCAAGTACATATGAATGACCTTAGCACTGACCGAAGTTCAGTGGGTCAGTAAGGCCATGCTCAACCGCAAAGTCATATCTACTATGCCACACAAGCACAAGCAAACCTCATTTTCCATGGTTCAGTGATAACTTCTTGGTTTACTCTCGTTTCAGTTGCTATAAACGGATATGACTTACCTTGAGGCTAATTTAATCAAACTAGTGACTCATTAAAATTCTTGGTAAATGTAAAGCAATTTAAGGTGCAAAAATGACTTGTTTTATTAGTTGTTGTGACAGATGGTCTGAAATGTTTACAGGTGATTTTCTGATTTTATTTAAGGTTTTTTATATCTAGCAAAAGCTAAGTAAAGTATTAAGAAACAGAAAAATTTCGTTAGAAACAATGAACGGACTACTGAACTCTTACGCGATAGCAGTCCTTTTATATGACAGTGAATGCTGGATAATCTCCTCAAAGATGAAGAAGAGATTTGAAGTAACAGAAATGTGGCTCTACAGAAGGAGGCTAAGGATACAATGGACTGAACATGTGAGCAATGACGAAGTTTTACAGAAAATGGAAACAAAAAGGACACCTATACTTAACATCAGGAAGAAACAGTTGTGGTTTCCAGGTCACATAATGAGGAAAGAAGGCCTGGAAAATTTGATACATCCATATATTCTGCCTTCTTAAAACTGATACTAAGACCTTTCTTCTCGCTTTCCTTCATTAACTTATGTGAGTTCCTATAGCTTCATTTCTGTGTCTACTATCAACACTACTGTCATCTGCATATCTAATATTGATAAGCATAAGTGCAATAATAACCCAGAGGTTTGGCCCTGTGGGTGTCGAATAGTTGGTTGATTTTGTTTAGCGGCATATCAACACCTCTATGGGTTATTTAATGCCGAAATCGAAATATTTTCTACGATTTTATAGTTTTAATTAAATATATTTGGCATGCAATTGTATTCCTTCAACTACGGTATTTGTACATAATTTTATATTTTCAGTATATTAAGAATATTGCTGCCTCAATTCCAGTATAATTTTCTCATTAATTGTATAGCTAATAAGAAAATTACTTCCTATATATATATATATATATATATATATATATATATATATATATTTGTAATAAATTGCTTTTGCTTGGAAATCATTTTACAATTTTTATAAAGAAAAGGGCAGAATCGTTGTGTATTGCCACTCATTCTTTTAAAAAAATCAGATAACCTGTTGGCGAAAGTTGAGAGAATGTTGTGCGACTGTGTTACTTTTTAAGAAAAAAAAATGCCCATTTCTATAGAAAACGTGTTGGCATAATTACTTGGAGCACCGTCAGTAGATTGGATTCGATTTCTTTAACAGCATATAAACTATTTAACCTCAATGGGAAATTCTTAAATAGATTATGAACATTATACGTCCTCTCTAGAGTTTGAAAGATGAAATAGTGTGCGCAAGGTTTATTTAATTGGTTGAAATTGTTTAGTGGTATGTCAACCTCTATGGGTTATTTAATGCCGAAATTTAAATATTTTGAACGCAATTTTATGGCTTCAGATAAATATATTATGCCTTTAATTGTAAATAAAATGTATTGTTGGTAATTTTACTATAAAATTGTGTTTTTATACTTTCATAGTGTTCTGTTTTTGGAGGTTCACTACTTGCCCATAGCTGGGACCCTAACAGGTGCTACCACCCCGGGTCAGGGTGTAAATGCGAACAACAGTAATTAAGAGGTGGTTTCATACTCCTCAAAACCTCTAATCTCACACTCAACTCCCCTTGCTGCTGGATGTAGCTTATTGTCGAATACACACAAAATACCTGAGCTGGAGCCTGCAACAACGTAGCTAGCTAATATGCCTAATCGGAAACAAGCGGCCAGTCATACGAGATAATTGCACGGCGTCTTCTGGATAATGATATTTAGTTATTCTGGTTTTGACATTATCAGTGCTGTTTTCACTTGAGGGCACACTGAAAATCAATGTGATTTCTCCTGCTCGACATGGCTACTTGTTTCCGGGCATGACCATCTGCTTAGGTTCATTTGTGTTACTTCAACAGCCACAGAGCCGACCTGTTGTTTATACTGCAAGTGTACTGAGCGGAGATTAGCTACAGTTCAAGTATGTGGTCCACCAACACCACATATGGTTTTGAATTCAGAGAGATCATTCTACTATAATAGCTGCCAACCCCAGCTAGTGAGTCCAGTCACTCCAGCTATTTATCCCATAGCTGGAAGGAGAAAGAGATGGATTCGTATAACTCGGCCGCTTTCTCGTTCAGAGCCTCTAACCATTACGCCACCTGCACATCCATCTGGCTTTGTACTGAATAGATATTAAACAACTTTCTTGCTTTTACATCTAGAGTGGCAAAAGAAAAAAAAATGAATCCCCAGCCGTTAAAAAAAAATAAGGTTCCATCTCAAGTTCTAGATTTATTGATGAGTATGACTATTTTATTTTCATGGGAGACTCATTATTTTTTTTAATGGTGTTTACCCTGTACAAGGTTCGAGCGCCACTCGAGGTAGAGGATTACAGAGTTAAAGGCACAGCTTATGTGTGGAAGATAACCCTAAACTTGAACAGGTTAAGATTCTAGTGATCGGGCAAGCATTCTCTTAGGAGTCGATTTCACAGCGCAATGGTTCACGGGAAAAAGTTACTTGACTGGAACTTACATCTCACCAAATAAATACGAATAGTATTGAATAGTAAGTT